CCCCGGAGGGGTCTCCAAGCGGGGAGCGCGGCGGGAGGCCGTCGGGGCGTCAGCAGCAACGTCACCCCCCTCGGGTGGGCCAGAGGTGTCGGAAGTGACCTCCAAAGGCTCAGCCAAGGGGGGGGGGTCTACCTGAGACACACCTGAAGGAGCAGGACCTTGAGGGGGGAGGGGGTCGACCTGGGGGGGACCTGGCACGAGGAAAAGTGGTGGGGGTGGCAGGGGGGCAGCGCGGTAGGGGAAGAGACGGTAGTACGGAACCGACTCGTCAAACGTGACGTCCTGGGAGGACAGAACACGGCGCGAGGTGGGGTGGTAGAACTGCCAGCCAGGCGCGTCAGGGGGGAAGCCAAGGAAGACGCAGGGAACAGCACGGGAGGACATCTTGTCCGCAGACAAGTCTCGGACAAAAGCCCGAGATCCCCAGACACGGAACGCAGACGCATCGCCAACCTTCCCCGTCCATAGCAGAGTGGGGGAGGTCCCCGGCATGGAGACCCGGGGCTGAAGGTTGATCTGATGCGCCGCGTACTGAACCGCAAACGGCCACAGAAAATGGGGAGCAGCCGCATGGATCATGGACGTGCGAGCGACATCCATGACCATGCCAATGCGGCGCTCAGCAATCCCATTTTGCTGCGGAGAGGCCGGAAGCGTGAACGTCTGGCGGATGCCCCTCGCACGACAGTAGGCTCGCAGAGGGCCTGAGGAAAACTCCCCACCTCTGTCGGAGTGCAGACGCAAAACAGGAAAGTCAGAGCGGAAACTCTGCCTGAGCTGGAGACGAGCAGCGCGGATCCAGTCGATCAACACCTCAGTGACCTCATCCTTGCGGCGCAAGGGGAAGACTGTGGTGTAACGCGAGTAATCGTCAACCACCAGCAGGAAGTAGCGCTCGTGACCCTGTCCACGGACGTGGGCTGGGCCCCACACGTCCATGTGAAGAGTCTGCAGCGGAGCCTCTGTCGGCGGAAACTCGGAGGAGTGAGGAGCGGCGCGCTGCCGCCCCTCGACGCAGGGAAGGCAGGTAGGGGCAGGCCCCGGAGGGAGGGGAGGGAGAGACCGGGGGAGACCAGAGACAAGGACACGAGAGGCCATGCCTCGGAGACGAGGCAGGGAGGGGTGACCAAGACGGTGGTGCCAGAGAAGAGTCTCATGGGACAGGAGGCGACACGAGCAGGGGGCAGACTCAGGACCAGACCGAGACGCTGCAGCAAACACCTGACCCGACGCAGCTACCTGACCAGGAACAGCAACCGGCGGAGACTCGGTAGTCAGTGTGTACAGGCTCGACCCCGGCCGACGAGTAAACGTGGCCAAGTGTCGGCCCGTGTCAGCACACGTGCAGTGGGTCACCCGCTGACGCGCAGGAGTGAACTGGTCAACTCCCCCATCCTGTAGGTCAGCACCCGCCACCAAGTTCGTAGAGAACGAGGGGAGGTAAAGACCGGACAAGGAGCCAGACGGGACAGCTGGACACGGCAGGACAGTGGAGTAGTGAGCAAGGACAGGACCCCCAGAGGGGTCTGCCAGGGAGACCGCAACCGGCCGGTTGAGCGGCGTAAGAGTGGTGCGGTCTCGAAAGAAGGAGCGGGAAGCACCCGAGTCAAGGGTGAAAGTGTGCGACGCCTGAGCCGACGTGGTACCTGAGAGAGCAGACTCACCAGCACCTGGAGCAGCAGACTCACTAGCACCTGGAGCAGCAGACTCACTAGCACCTAGAGCAAAAGCTGCACCGCCCGGGTCGGGCGGAACACTCAGGTAACAGTCACCGTCATCACTAGTAGACATAACATACATGGCAGCAAGGATAGCATCATAGTCAAGATCAAAGATAGCAACGCCCGACCTAAGCAGCTCATGCCAGCGAGGGAGCTCAGTGGCTTCAGGGAACCTAAGACGCCAGGCGTCTGTCAGGCGACCGAAGCAGCGCTGAGTGGTGTGCGCGCCTCCACACTGCTCTCCAGTGCGGTCACCAGTACGAAAGAAGTACGTACAGGGACCAGCACCCCCAGGCCGCTGACGCCCAGCGTACCACTGGTGAAGCTGCTGCGGCGGCGGGGCCTCACGAGAGCGCTGCTGCTGCGGACGCTGTCCACCACCGGAGCCTCCCCTCTGCACCGAGCCACCCCGACCAGTACCACCGCCACCCCCGCCACTGCCGCCTCCACTGCCTCCGCCGCCACCTCCACCTCCTCCAGTCCCACCGCCGCCGCTGCCACTGTCCCCGCCTCCACCGCCGCCACCAGAGCCCCCACCCCCGCCCCCACTCCCACCTCCACCCCCACCCCCCGGCCGCCCCCACCGCCACCACCACCACCCCCGCCAGCTCCTCCAGCACCCTTGCCCTTGCTGTTGCGGCGCCTCCCGCCAGGGGCAGACGCAGCTCCGACCGACTCAGTGCCAAGGAGGTCGACAGCAGCAGCAGAGGCAACAGAGGGCAAAAGGGGAACAGGGGAGCACCCCTCAAAGATAGGGGTACGAGGGTCACCGCGAGAGGCTCCGACAGCGGCTATACTCTGCTCGGCTGCAAGGAGCTCCTTCTCGAGGAGGTCAACGGTGAGTGTGGTGGGGCAGAGAGCTAGGAAGTGGTCCCTGACTGAGCGAAGGGAGTCAGGAAGACGGGTGACTAGGTAGTAGAGGGTGATGTACATGGGGGGGGGGGGTTCTTGGCGCAGAACTCAGCAGGAAGCGCAGCGCGGTAGCGAGTGTCACTAGTGCGGAGGTGCGTAATGAGGTCAGCAACTGTAGCAAAGGCAGCGAGGTCAGGGAAAAGGTAGGGCAGCATGATGCGGCTAAGGGCAGCAGAGGCAGGGGAGGAGTAGCGTGCAACGACAGCATCGAACAGGGTCTTAGCGGTCTTAAACTGAGTGAAGTGCGCACGCTCAGCAGACGGCAGGTGACTACGCACAGCAAGGCGGGCAGCAGCATCGCGAGTGTTCCAGCGAGAGCGCACAGTAGCATCAGCATCAGTAGCAGGCTGGGGGGAAGCACCAGACGTGAGGTCATGCAGCGAGACATCGTCTTTGCTATCACACTGCAGGAACAGCTGCAAGTCGTCAAGCCAGACCTCAAAATCTATCGCTCGCCCCTCAGCATCGAAGGTAAGCACAGCAGGGCTAGCCATGGCAGCAGGCGACGCAGGCTAGCAGCAGCAGAGAAAGCAAGCAAGGTGAGGTAGTAGCAGTTTGAGGCGCGACTCGGCGATGCGCTTACCAGGGGCGGGCTAGAGAAGGCCAAAGGTGGTGGGGCAGGGCCGAGGCGCTCGAGCAAGGTCAGGGCCGCGAAAGGGCGGCAGAACAGGACCGGGACGGCGGCGGTGGCTCCGACGAACAGCGGCGGCGGCGGCTGTCTCTGCAGCAGCGGCAGCGGCTGTCACAGCAGTAGCAGCGATAGCTGGGACGGCAGGAGCGGCGGCGGCTGACACAACAACGGCGGCGGCTGCTGTCGTAGGTGCAGCAGCGGCAGGTGTCACGGCAAGAGCAGCGGCGGCTGGCACAGCAGCAGTGGCGGCGGTCGTCACGGCAGGAGCGGCGACGTCCGAGGCGCGAGAGACAGTAGCTGCAGGTGCGGCGGCAGGTGCTGCCGAGGCGGCGGCAAGGTGGCAGGGCGGCGGCAGCTGGTGACGACGAGCTGCGGAGGAGGCCGCGACAGGGCCGTGAAGCGCGGCGGAAGAGCCGCGAAGGGGCCGTGAGGGAGCCGCGACGGGGCCACAAAGGGACCCCAATGAGCCGCGTAGGGGCCGCGAAGGGCGGCGAAGGGGCCGCGAAGGGCGGCGTAGGGGCCGCGACGCGACGCGTAAGGGCCTCAAGGGGCCGCGAAAGGGTCGCGTGGCGTCGCGAAGGGGAGAACACGAAGCGCCGCGAAGGGGGATTAAGGGGCCGCGAACGGGCCTTAGAGGGGGCCGCGACGCTCCTTAACGGGGCAGGCCTCTAAGAGGCCGCGAAATTTTCGGGCAGGGCGCAAAGCGCGCCTCGGGCAGGTAAAAAAAAGTCTAGAAAAGGTGGGCCCGTGGTAGGAACCTAAGCTCTATACCATGTGAGAGTCGAGAGAAAAGTTGCACTAGGAGAAGTTCGAGAGGTACAAGAAACAACCCTATACCCTCTAGTATCTAACCCACTACAGCCTAGATATAAACAATATAACATATGTTTGACAGTAGCATGACATGTACTAGCACTTATATTGTCTAGCTCGAGGTGCATGTTGTAATTTGACAGTTGAAATGAGAACGATGCCAAATGATAAGTATTAGAAACGTAATTTTTAAAAACACTATGTGTGTTAAAAAATTATCATATTATGGTACTCATTGACCACCAAGCGGTTCGATGGTTGGTGGATGCAAGTAGGGCCTCCCGTCTAGGGTCACACTTGCAAGGAGACAGATGCCTTACAGTACCAAAAAGAAGAAAGCAATATAATTATACATGGGAATCAACATACCAGTAAAAGAATCAATATAAATATGGTACAAGCAAGGCAACAAGAAAACTAGCTAACAAACACATCTACTCTATGCCAAAAACACACACTACTGCAACCCCTTTACCAATGGCAGCAGCCATAGGCTTCAGAGATCAGGGGTCAAACACCCTCCCTAAATCTCCCTAAATCCATCCATCCGAACCAATCCTTCCCTCCCTCCTCTCCAATGCTCTGGTGCTGATGCTGGCAGCTAAGGAGTGGCAAGTCTTGAACAGCATCCATACTTACCATTATTATCTTCATTATTATGGTCATTATTCTTAGTGATCGCATTGTAGTCACGCTCTTATTGCTGTAGAGCGAAGAGTGGCCGACCGCAGAGCTGAACCCTCCTGGATGCCATGGGCAAGACTTGCTGACTCTGGATTGTGGCAGGCCACTTATGAATCACTGATGTACTGATGTATGATACAAGGGAGGGGCACGCACTGCACCAGCCGCAGCCGCTGCTGTGGTGTGCTGTGGTGAGGCACAGTGGCAATGCTGGTGCAATGCAGCCACGAAGCCAGTCATCACTCACTGCCCATCGTCGCTCCTGCCGCTGCTGGTGCTTGTGGAGCCACCAGGAGCAGGCAGAGGCCTGCCTCTCTGCAGGATGATCTGCCGCAATGTCATGCATATGTTGCTGCGAGATGCTTCCTCCGCTCCTGCTCTTGCTCCTGCTGCTCCTCCCGCTCCTGCTCCTGCTCTTGCAGATCTGGATGAGTTCGGAGGGGCGGAGGCTACTGTTGGTGGTCGCAGCCTGCTGCTGCTGTTGCTATTGCCTGACCCGTACCGGCCAGAGCTGCTGCTGCTGCGCTTGGAACCACAAGCAGCAGCAGCTGGGTTGCACGCAGGAGGAGCAGCGGCAGCAGCAGCAGCAGCAGGAGCACCGTAAGCAGCATGAGCAGCAGAGGCAGCGCTGTTTCGAATGGTAGCGAGAGGGGTTCTTGTGGAGTGCCGGCCGCTAGCACCACTGCTGGTACTTCCACCGCCAGCACCACCGCCAGCACCACCACCAGCAGCACCACCACCAGCACCACCACCAGCACCACCACCAGCACCACCACCAGCACCACCACCAGCACCACCACCAGCACCACCACCAGCACCACCACCAGCACCACCACCAGCACCACCAGCAGCACCACCAGCACCACCACCAGCAGCACCACCAGCACCACCACCAGCACCACCACCAGCACCACCACCAGCACCACCAGCAGCACCACCACCAGCACCACCACCAGCACCACCACCAGCACCACCACCAGCACCACCACCAGCAGCACCACCAGCAGCACCAGCAGCACCACCAGCAGCAGCACCACCACCTGCATTGCCACTACCTCTGCTGTGTCCGCTGCTGATGCTGCTGCTACTGGGCTGGAGCTGACGCTGCCGAGCGACGTTTGCTCCATTGCTCCTGGTGTTGCGGTTGGTGTTGGTGGTAGTAATCCCCTTGGGGTTGACAGCGCTGCTGCTGTTGCGCGTGCCAGACGGCCTCAGCTGTCGTCCGCCTGGAGTGTTGCCTCTTGCCGTGTTACCACCAGCAGCGCCACCACCACCAGCACCAGCAGCAGCAGCAGCACCAGCAGCAGCAGCGGCAGCAGCAGCAGCACCAATCCAGCCGCCACTAGCATTGTTACCACCAGCAGCACTACCACCTCCTCCCCCACTTCGCCTGACGCCTTGCCGCTCCTCCACCGTCCCCACCCTCATCATCTTCTTCCCAGGATCACTCCCATCCACCGGCACTGCCACACCTCCCTCCTCCCCACCCTCCTCTCTCCCTCCTCCTCCAATAATTCCTCCTACCTCCCCAGCTGCTGCTCCTCTCTCTCCTTCCCCCTCTCCTCCTCCATCTTGTTCCATCATGCTGCGGCTGCGCTTGAAAGGAGACGCAGACGCAGAGAAGACATGTGCGGGAACATCGGACCAACCAAGGGGACTCATATCCAACTCCCCACCCCACATGCTGCCATGCGTCCCTCCCTCCATCTCCCCTCCCATGCCCATACCCATGCCCATGTTCATGTGCATGCCGATGGGCATGTCAGCATGAGGCTCAGAAAGCATGGTAGAGAGATCATACTCAAGCTCCAACGTATGGTCATGCACCTGAAAGCCCTGCTCCTGCCGATGTGCATTAAAGCCCTGCTCGTGCGCCTGAAAGCCCTGCTCCTGCCGATGTGCACTAAAGCCCTGCTCATGCGCCTGAAAGCCGTGCTCCTGCTTCTGCTCCTGCCCAAGCTCCTGTCCATGTGCACTGAAGTTCTCCACATAGGCATCGACAGCTTTCAGTTGCGCCTCAAAGAGTGAGAGCGCATGCGTATCATTAGAAGAGTGCTGTCCCTGCTCGCCTGTTGCTGACCCTCCTGCTCCTCCTCCTCCTCCTCCTCCTGCTGGTACAGGTGCTGCTGCTGATAAGGCTGCTGGTGCTGCTTCCGATAGCGATGCGGCCGATGGGTCTCCAGTCTTCTCTCTGGTGTCGCCGGGAGAAAAAACAGCTGAAGGAAGCTGTGAGCTGAGCGGTGGCATGGGGGTGGAATCCTCAGCATACCCGCCTGGCTGCATGGACTGAGGCAGCAGCCAATCAGGCGGGTGATGCAGAGGGTCCGAGCGCATGCCACCGCTGACAGACACATCCCGGTGACCAAGAGAAGCTGAGGCAGAAGAGCCATGGGCTGAGGCGGAAGCGGCAGCAGATGCAGACGCCGGTGCGAGAGAACCATCCTTCCCCGCGGCGATACCGTTCGCAGCAGCAGCACAAACAGCAGCAGGAGCAGCAGCAGAAGGAGCAGCGGCAGTGGCAGCGGCAGCGGCAGCAGCATCGGCAGCAGCATCGGCATCGTCAGCAGCAGCGGGATTCTCCTCTTCCGCATGGCACGGCGCATCGTCCTGCATTATCGGAAAGTCCGGAAAATCCCCGAAATCAAGCCCAAGGTCGAAATCGTCAATGTCAATACCACCCAGCTCTCCTGCTGCTCCACTCGCTGCTGCCACCGCTGCTGCAGCGGCGGCAGAGAGAGGAGTGGTCCCGGAAAGAGGCGTGCAGTTGGAAAGAGGCGTGCCGCCGGAAAGGGGCGTGTTGTTGGAGAGGGGAGTGTTGCCCGCACATGGTGATAGCCAAATCTCTGCGTCGTCCTCGTCCTCATCCAACCACGAAGGGGTGCTTGAGGCATGTGGGATTGCTGTAGCGTCAACGGCAGGAGCAGGAGTAGCGGCACCAGCAGCGGAAGCTGCTGCGTCAGAAGCAGCACCAGCAGGAGCAGCAGCAGCAGCAGCAGCAGCAGGGGAAGGAGCTGGAGCAGGCGCATGAGCAGGCACAAGAGCAGGGGCAAGAGCAGGAGCAGGAGCAGGAGCAGGAGAAGGGGTAGAATGGCACCCCACACCACTGAAGCCACTCAAGCCACTGGCGCTCTTACCCACCACCGCTCCTGCTGCTGCTGCTGTTGCTGCTGCTGATGCTGCTGCTGCTGCTGCTGCTGCTTCTGCACCAGGCATTTCTTCGCTGCTCCCAAACGAGTTGCTGCAGCGAGCACTGCTGCTGTTGCTCACAGGATACGCGGAAGAGAGCTCGACAGCGGCAACAGCAGCAGGAGTAACAGAAACAGCAGCAACAGGAGCCGAATCACAGGAAACTGGCGTGGGGTGATATGCAGGTGACGAGGGGGACGGTAGCACATCCATCCCCGGCATGGGCGCACCCATGCCTTCCTCATCAGCAGCACCATCGTTGTCATCATCATCATTATCATCAGCATCAGCAGCAGCATCCATAGCACCACCATGACCATCAAAACCATCACCCATACCTCCCTCCATTTCTCCCTCCAAATCTCCCTCCAAATATCCCTCCATTTCTCCCTCCATTTCTCCCTCCATTCCTCCCTCCATACCCATACTCCCTTCACACATGCTCGCATCCAATTCCGACCCCATCCCCATACCCATCCCCATACCCATTCCCATCCCCATCCCCCCCATACCCATACCCATCCCCATCCCCATCCCCATCCCCATCCCCATCCCCATCCCCATCCCCATGCCCATGCCCATATCCGGGACCATGCCAGCAGCGGCAGCGGCGGCGGCAGCAGCAGGGAGAGGAGCGGACATGGCTCGTGGGGGTAGCTGGGCAGCGGATGGGTTGGACCCCTTGTTGTACACACGGCACAGTACGAGCGAACCCTGCATGTGGGGAGAAACGGGAGGCACACAACAGGAGAAGCAAGCAAGGAAGGTGGTGAGTGCGTGGCATATGTGGTACGACCAGAACGTTTAACGGAAGAGAGAAAGAAAAAAAAAAATACCTGCCACAGAGCATCACAATCACCATCGCCACCGCCACCAGCAGCAGCAGCAGCAGCAGCAGCAGCAGCAGCAGCTCACTTACCACGGGTCGGCGGCCGCTGCTGCTGCGCTGCTCCAGGCGATACTCATGCATGACCCACTCCGTCCTCCTCCCTCTCGGCGCGCGCCCCTCATAGTACACCAACGTCTTCTTCATCCCCACCACCACTCCATCCATCTGCCCATGCCCGTGCCCGCGCGGAAACCCGAACGCGTGCGCGTACCCATGCCCGTGCATGTGCGCCAGTGCGTGTGCATGCGGCGGCAGCATGTGAGGGGAGGCGTATGCTTCCCCCATGTAAACCGCCTGCTGCTGCTGCTGCTGCAGGTGATGATTCAGCATCGGCGACTGGTTACCAGAGGACATGTTACGCTGGTGAGTAGCAACATAACGACCATTGTCCATGCCAGGCATAATCCCATCCCCATCCGCCCCCTCCTCCCCCTCCTCTTCCGCAACCGAAGGCTCATCCAAACACCCCCCGAACAACCCTCCGCTCCCCCGCCTCCCCAGCAGCGCGCGGGACAACTGCTTCCCCACACCCGCGCCCATCCCCGCGCCCATCCCCGCGCCCATGCCCCTGCTCGCGCCCGCGGCAATAGCGGCGCCAAAGACGGGGTCGCAGTGAATGGTGCGGTCGTTGCCTGTGGCCTTCCAGTAGCCGTTGGCGGTGCAGCGGTTGGTGCGCCGCGAGTGGCCGTACTTGTGGCTTCGCGTGGAGAAGAAATACCACTCGCCGTCACCGATGCAGCACGACACTGGCGGGGGGGGAGAGGGGCAGGGGACCGGGGGGAACGGGGAACGGGGAGGTTGGGGCAGGAAGGAAGGGAGGGGAGCCGATGAATATCGAGTGGCCGTACTTGTGGCTCCGCGTCGAGAAGAAACGCCGTCGCCTATGCAGCACGACACTGCAAGTAAAACTCAAGGAGAGAGGGAAGGAGCACACGTTTACGCGCGCGGCCGGGGACCAGATACGCGGAACGGGCAGAAGCAGCAGCAGGCAAGATCGAGCCTCGTCGAGAAGATCCCTAGGAAGGGGCAGAAGCAGAAGCAGGCAAAATCGATACTCGTTACAGCAAGACTCACTAGGAAGCTCCCACGGCTCCATATCCAAAGCATCCAAATCCGCAATCATCGTCATCCAATCCTGCTGCTGCTGCTGATGCTGCTGCTGCTGTTCCGCCTTCGCCTCCCCCTGAAGCTCCCGCCTCCCCCCATCAGCGGCGGCTGCCCGCCGTCCCGCTTGGACCGGCGGGTTAGACGGGATCACCCCGAGGGAATCGTCCGCGAGGCGCGCGCGCGGCACGAGGTAATGCGCCACGAGCTCCTCGTCCGTAGGCTTGAAGCGGTAGCCAGGCGGAAGCGACGGAAGCGCCTGCGCTTCCATTCCCTGCTCTGCCGCCGCCGACCCGCCCACCTGCGCCGCCCCCGCGGGGGTGAGGTGGATCTTGTCCGCGCGGGAGGCAGTGGCCGCGGCGGCAGCAGCCGCGGAGGCCGCCATCTTTGCTGCAGCTACAGCGGCAGCAGCCGCCGCAGCAGACGGCTTACGGGGAAGCTTATTATCCGCTCCGCCGGGGGCGGCGCGGGTCGCTCCTCCGGACGTAAAGCTTTGCGCCGGCTGTCCCCCTCCCGCGCTTTGCTGCTCCGCCTCCCCTGCAGCGCGGGAATCTTCCGCGGATAACTTCCGCTCAGGCTCAGCCCCTGCGGCGAACACTCGCGCGCTGCCCGCGCACCCAACGGTTGCGCCCTGGCGGAAGCCGCCGGCGGCCTCCTTAGACCGCTTCTTAGGCATGAGACGGCTGGAGAGATGGCGCGCGTATCCGTTGATGCCGGAAGGGGCGGCGGACGCGTGCGGCTGGCCGTTCTGGGTCTGCCCTGGCGCGTGGTTGGCCCCCCGAGCCTGCGCCGGCGCATGGCTGTTGCGCGGGTGCACGTACGCGGGTGACAGAGGCCCTGTGGGGCGGGGCGACGAGTGGTAATGCTGCTGGTGCGCCGGCTGATGCGGCCGGGCGAGAGGGTTGGGTGGAGAAGCGTTGGGGTGCGACTGACGAGTCGCGCGATTCTTCGGACCACCAAGCTGCTGCTGCTGCTGATGATGATGATGATTATCCTCCTCCTGTTGCTGCTGCTGCTGCTCTATGTTGTGCTCTCGGCGAAAGGTTGAGCCGCCGCAGAGAAACATCTTGGATTGACGTGTCCGCGTTAGAGTGTTCCGCGATACACAAGGGAAGAAGAATTTAATCGGTAACGAGATGCCAATCTATAATGAGGATTCAGCGAGCTTGACTGACTTTGCGACGGTAAACACAAAATGAAGCTTCCCACGCTACGCGGCGCGGCGCGACGCGACGCGAAGGTCTCTTTCTTCCCGTGACGCTTCGTACTGTCTTATAATACGAGCCTGTTTCTGCAAAGTCAACGAGGTAATGCGGATAAATCAACAACGGCTTCGAACACGCTTCGAGGAAGAGTCTGTGATTTCGTTGCTCAACAGAAGAAAAACGTCCAGGTGATATCGACGATAATGCACAAAAACAATAAAACACAATAACACTGGTTATCCAGGTGTTCGACGATGGTTATCGTTGCGTAGTGTCGCGCTTCAAGTTCGAATGCGGGAAGTTAGCTTGAGAGAAGAGAGGAACTAGAGAAGAGCTAAAGGTTAGAGGAGGCGAGATAAGAGACTAGATCCTAAAGTGCGATGGGAGAATGGAGATCGAGAATGAGAATCGATCAAACGTCAACGAGCAAGAGATGGGAGGGGGAGGAGGACATCGGAACGGAGAGGCAAGTCGGGGGGAAGAGTGGGGTAACTGTGGGAGCACGGGGAGCAGCATCTGGTTGGGGGGGAACGATTAGTGCGGAGGAGTTTCTCCTTGGTGGGGCGGGGGACGGAAAGAGAGGTGGGGAAGCGTACGGGAGAGGAAGAGTGGGGCGGAGCCGCGGATGTGTAGTGAGGGGGAATGGTGCGGGGTGGCAGTGGGAAGAGGGAGGGAGGGTGCGCAGGTGCGGTGGTGTTGTCATCGAACAAACTTCGGTCGGAACAGGTTCGACGAGGTGGAGGGGGTGGGGATGGTGTCATACGGGGTGTGCGTGACTAGACCAGCGGTTTTCTGATGAGTCTGTGTGAAGGGTTGCGGGGAAGGGGGAAGTGGAAGCGAGAGAATTGTCCAACAAGTCCGAAAAAGAATCCGCGATGCGCGAAAAAAATTCTGACAGCATGCAGGGAAGTATACCGGTCAGACTAAGAAGTAACATTTAAAATTACTTAATTAAGCAACACCTGCTGGGTATGAAGCCCCCATACAGTCTGATGCGTATTCCTGACTTTGTGTCAAGAACCAGTTGGTGTCAACCCATAACTATGGAGCGCACCTGATTGGCCAAATGTATTTTTTAAACCAATCGCATGCGTTCCAAGATTCTAGGTTGACACAAACACAGCTTGACACGAGGCCTAGGAATACGCCCCGACTAATGCTAATTGTTTCTGAGTGACGGAATGTGACGGCCTTCTTTCGACGAAATGTGACGGCTTGGTGGAGCCGGAAAACAATGGCGCTGTTGTTCTGGCGCATCACGGCCAAAAAGGTCACTGTCGAAAGCTGGTTGGTGAACAAACGGGAAAAGTTTTGGCGGAAGCAAAAAACAAACGTTTCGACGGAAACAGGAAAAAAATCTATCGTTTTTCACGTTGTACGACGGATGAACTGTACAATCGTAAAATGTCTCACAGATGCGGAATTGGATTCCTCGATATCCTCGTCTCTCCAACTCTATTTTTTTTTCTCTGACCCGCTGCAACGCAGTCTTCAGGCGACCCCTACCCCACCACCAAAACCCCGATCCACACGCTACCCAGGCAATTTCGCAATCCCGCGCTGTGTCCCCATTGGCTAGGGTGGGAGATGCCATCAAACTCTTCCCAGCAAGTGATTCTTACATTCCAGGAACTTTCGTGTCCCCATCGGACGGTCAGTACTCATGCCGTAAGCTGAAATGATCAATCCACGGTTCACAATCACCATTTTTCATCATAAACTTTTAACACGTCGACGTTGACTTAGATTGACTCACCGATGCTTGTGGGGCTGACGGTGGCCTTTGTCAAACTTGAAATGGAGTCGCCCACAATCGAGGTTATTATACAGCCGGAACATGCGGGATTTACAAAAGTGGTACTCATATCTTTAGACTATTTCACACCCAACTAAACATATGAGTAGGGCGTGTAATACGGGCCATTGATTCATGTGTTATACGGGCCACCAATTCCTCATAGTGGTTTTACAATGCTAGAAATTATAGTATCGAGAGCGTTCAGTTGACTTGTCACACAACCTGTCCTCTCAATATGTTACCTGCTTGTAAATGGCAAAGTACCTTTCCGAAGTAGCGAATAATCTTCAATATCCTAATAAATCCTGTGTAATCATACGTATGAAATACACTGGCCCTTAATATGTCATCAAAATATTGAAAATTGTATGAATCTTATACTATAAAAGGAATCACGAATCCGTAGCACCAAAAGGCACCAATTATTTATAAATTATACTTTTACGGCACTTTCTATTTCAATCTACACTGCCAGAAGTGTTATACCTTGTATTGGTGTTAATCCTAGTGTTGAATTTGAACGGGCACCCGAGGTAGGTTAGTGTCAACTATCCCAGTACGCGGTGAAAGTAGACGATCGATCGTCAGTCGCGATCGATGTGCCGATTGGATACCCTATTAACTACGCTGTAACCATGCTACAGTACGCTTTCTGGCCAAAATTTCTGTACAGTGTAACAATGCGACCGATCACTGTTCGCGGGAAATCTGTCAATTTTCAGCCGCGATCGTCATAACGTCGCAGTCGCGATCCTGCGATATTTGCACTTTCTGTTAGAATCTAGCAGCAGGAATGACTGAACTAACAGGATGCAGGAGTACAAGTAGTAAACCCTAATTGGGTTGTACCCCATATGGGCTACCCCACTACAGCCTAGACAATATGCAGCACATATAGTTTGACACACCCCCATAGGCAAAGTGGGGGAGAACAAGAGGTCACACGACCAGTCAAGAGAAGCAAAACAAGCTCAGGGTGGATCACAACGTCACCACGCATTCCGAGCACAAGCAAAGGGCCACAGGGCCAGTTCACATGCAGAGATATATATGCAGCAATAACAGTACAGTGATGGCTACCTAGCAAGAGCCAGCATGCATATATATTTATGTACAGATCACAGTACAAGCAGAGACTACAGCAAGTGTGGAAACGTAGGCACAAGGCCTAACAGAGTACAAAAGCGCTGATGATCACCAGACGGAAGTGCCTTGGTGAATATATCAGCAGTGTTGGCCCGAGTGGCCACGTGGCGAAGACGAAGCTGGCCTCGCTGCTGCAACTCTCGAGCCAGGAAGTACCGCAGAGCAATGTGCTTCGTTCTGTGCTCCAGTCTGTGCTCCTCACACAAGGCAATGGCGGCCTTGTTGTCGACGTACAGCACTGGAGGAGAACGAGGCTGCTCTCCCAAGTCAGTCAGTAGGTAGGTGAGCCAGCGTAACTCCTGTGCAGCCATGGCTGTGGCGTAGATCTCAGCCTCACAACTGGAGCCGAGAACTGAAGACGAGCGTGTAGAACGCCACGAAACTGAACCAGAGCCAAGGCTGAAGGTGTAACCCTGTGACGACCGCTGAGTAGCCAGGTCGTCAACCCAAGAAGCGTCTGAGTGCCCAGTGAGGACAACTGGGCTCGTCCCTCCAAGCACTAGCCCCATGCCTGATGTGCTGCACAAGTAACGCAGTACCCTCTTAGCAGCAGCCATGTGCTCAGGTCGGTGCCGACCAGGAGCCACGTAGCGAGCCAGGAGACCAAGAGGGTACGCGAGGTCAGGTCGAGTGCAAGTCATCAGGTACATGAGGCAGCCGACTAGCTCTGGGTAAGGACCACTCGGCTCTACGGACTCGTCCGAAGGTGGAGCTGAGAGCGTGTGACCTGTAGCCAGAGGAGTGGCCTGTGCTGAAGACCAGGTGAAGCCGAAGCGCTGAAGGACCTGCTGCACCATGTGTGACTGAGTCAAGGTGATGGTGCGACGTGCTCTGTCTCGGGTGATCTGCAAGCCAAGGTAGCTGCGCAGCTCACCCAAGTCTGTGCACGTATGTCTCTTCTGCAGCTCCGACTTTACGTGGGCGAGAGCCTCAGTGTCAGCAGTGGCAAAAACCAAGTCGTCGACGTACACGAGGATGTAGAACGGCGGCAGGGAAGTGTCGGTGCGCAGAAACAGCGACGGGTCAGCAGTAGAAGGCGCAAACCCAAGAGCCGCAAGCGTAGTCCTCAGTGTGTCGTGCCACTCACGTGGCGCCTGGCGAAGACCGTAGACCGGCCGCCGGAGGCTCCACTGGGTACCAGGAGGGAACGACCCAGTGAAGCCCGGGGGGCGGCGCAGCCAGATCTCCTCGTGCAGGCTACCCTGCAGGAAAGCTGTGCTGAAGTCAAGAGAGTGAAGCTCGTAGTCACGGTGAGCAGCAACGTGCAGCAGCACCCGAAGAGTGGTCATCTTTGGGGTGGGGGAGAAGGTATGGAAGAAGTCAACTCCCTCTCGCTGACTGAAGCCTCGAGCCACGTAACGCGCCTTGAAGACAGGCGGAGAACCCGGCGGCCGCTTCACCCTGAAAATCCACATGCCACTGACGATGTTCGCCCCAGGTGGGGGAACCTCGTCAACGTAGGTGCCTGTGGACTTCCAGGAAGCCATCTCTGCGTCCATGGCTGCCTGCCACTGAGAGGAGTAGGGACCCTCTATCGCCTCTGCGTAAGAGCGCGGAGTCGGGATGTCTGGTGCATCCGGGTCTCCCTCAGGGGCAAGTAGCGAGGACACAAGATGAGGTAAAGCAGCAGCAAGACACTGGAACTCCTCCTGCCTGTCCTCAAGGACGTCCGTGCTAAGAGCACACTCACCCCCGACGGACGGAGGACAGACAGACTCAGACTCAGCAACAAGACTAGCGGCGTAGTCTAGACGACAGGCAGCAGCAAAGTCAACAAGCTCAGCGACCAAGGCAGACGCAGCAGTAGACTCAAACGACGGGTCAGTGACAACAGTGGCTAGGAGACGCGTGACAGTAGGGTGCTCAGTACGAAACCTGTCAGACTCAGGGTCCGGAACGGCAGGCAGAGAGGACGCA